ACCTTAAACCGCATAAACACATTTCATTACACCAAATACACAAAATAATGTTCTTTTTAGTAGCATCATATGACCCCTTTAATACGCAGGAAACCCGACATTAAACAAATAACCATTTAAATGCTTAGGACGTTTGCATTGTAAGAACGCACAGGGATACTTCAGATATAAAGACGCTGACTCGTTAGGTGATGTTTTCTCATTAAAATCATACGATTTCCTATTAATTCAGTAGAAAGTATGGGAATACTAAGGAATACCAATATGACGTCATGAGCAATCCAGTTTTCTATTATAGATCAGTGGTTACAACCCTTTTAGTTAAAAATAAAAATACCATTCCAACTTACCGGATCTCAAAAAGAGGGTCTTCTCTGATCTTGGCAGCCATATCATTAGTAGAGACAGAACTTGTAGGGTTAAATATGGAACCAGGCAGGAGGCCTGTCTCAGCTGATGGTCCGCTCTCAGGGTCCTCATACTGCTGTGTGATCTGCTTGTCGATGGGGCGACCAAGAAGGTATTCCTCCCGAGAGATCTGTCCTGCTGGACCCTGGTACATCCAGTCCAATCGGTCATCTTTCTTTCTGCAATATTGAGAAATCTGATATTACATTATAGGCTTAAACCTGTAAGCCTGTTATTATAACTAAATCCAATTATACATCAACTTCTTTCATGAAAAAGCTTTGTGCTGGGATTGACTGAAAACTGAGAGAATGTGTCAGTGTCACACACTTCACAGCGCCGGTCTCTTGCGCATATCTGGTAATCTCTTCTCGGGCTCGCTCCTCTTTAAGCTCCTTCTGCAACTCCTCAATCTTCTTTCTCTCCGCCTCATGTTTCTGTTCTGCTTTCCACACTCGCTCGATGTTTTTAAGAGTTTGCGGATGCCAACTCTTTTTCAAGTTCTGGTGGTATTTGTGGAGATAATTCAGATTTCAGAAAAAAAAAAAAACAGATGTGGAGTTAATCACTTTTAATGAAAGGCCTGGATTCTTGGGGGAAAAAAAAGATGGAGATAATCACTTTTATTAAATAACTTCTTGGTTGCTTAGTTGGGGACACTTAATATTTGGCAATATTATCGACTCTATCGCACAGACACTATTGGGTTCTCATGCAATAGTGTCTGTGCGATAGAGTTGACTATATTACTGAACTGAGCTGGATGCTGGCATCACTGAATCAACGATGAACTGACTTCAACTGAAACATTGCCTGTTTACTATTGTCCTGTTATTATTGTCCTATTGTCCTATTGAGCTGCTTTCCAGCAGAATTGTGTTTGCAAGCATTACTGAAAGGCAACCAGTCTTGGGCTACAGGGTGATATGGCTGCCGAAGTTTCTGCCTTGACATTATGTAAATGTCTAACTGTATCTTTTACGTCCCAGCATTCTTGCCATTTTTCACCGTTTGTCTCTTTATAATTGTTTTCCCCTCAGCTTCAGTGTTTATTAACGGATTATTTTCCTCATTCTCCTCTCAGTGCTGTCAAATAGGGGAGACCGGGGATGAAAGTAACACTTTTTCTTTGAGCATCAGTAACTCAGTGGTTGTTTGTGCTAGATCTATTCAACTTTGATAAATGGTAGCCACATTTGGCAAATATAGCAAAATTTGGCTCTACAAATAAAACTCACTTGGATGCAGTGGTGGACAGTTAAGGAGTAGTTTTACTTCGTTACTGTACTTAAGTACATTTTTCAAGTAGCTGTACTTTACTGGAGTAGTTTTATTTTGAGTAACTTTTACTTTTACTTCACTACATTCCAAAGCATAGGATCGTACTTTTTACTTCACTACATTTCATAAAACATATCGTTACTCCTTATAATATATCACGTGCTCCGACACGCAGAAGCGCCCTGCGTCTGAACCCAGCAAGCAATAGCCGCCATTTTAACGTCTCGGTTAAGTATTTAGCCACGATTTAGCTCTAAATTGGACGGGCTACGTGTAGTCTGCTTTTAGCCCACCTGGCGAAATCGAGGCAATCTGTGGTCTAATTTTAACGGCAGGCATCACTAAGAATTGCGTTGACAGAGATTTGTGAAGTAAAGGAATGGGTGAAAAAGCTTAGTGAATCATCAGGAGTGAGTTGGAGAATGGCAGTGACAAAACCAAATAAGGGACAACGTGTGCTTTATAAGGTAATGTTAAATCATTTCATTCATCTTTACACTATATAAGTGTAAGACAATTAGTTACACTGAAAATGACATTGCACAACCGGCAGCCAGTGCAAGGAGATAAAGAGAGGTGTAGCATGAAATGCAAAGATGGGATAAAATAAGTGCTTTTGCCTGCTTCTTTGTGTGATTTGTTTTTATTTTCAGGAGCAATGATCCCCATATACACACTTACCCAACTTCTGTGCGTTTGTCAGTGGTGGAAAGTAGTGCTGGGCGGTATAGTGTTTAGTTTTGTTATGATATGAATTTTTAAAATACCGCAATATGTCACTTAAACAACGTTCGAAACGCGACACTGTTTGAAAGGGGTCTCTTTTCACTGTTGCACTGTAGTGAGGGAACAGCTGTATGTGTTACTAAGCGTGAAAGTTCCGAAACTGAAGCTGTAGAACTAATAGA